AAAAATGCTGAGGCAAAACAGGCACCACATCCCATCCATTTATGAATTTTAACACTAAAGTGCTTCAATCCTCAAAGAAAAATAGTGCTTATGTAATGAATGTAGGATAAATGTGGTATGGTCACAGAGAATTGATAGGATGCATTAGACTAGGTAATACCATGAGTCTGAAGATTCCATAGAAATCATTCAATGCTGCAGCTGATGAAGGCTTAAAGCCTCTATAAAAAAAAAAAAAAAAACCTATTTAGGGACAAAATCAAAATCTTACCCAGAAGGATCTTATTGACTAAATTGGGCTGCTTCATCACCCTGACACATGGTACTCCTACTTTAAAATCTCCTACTTTAATTTGTTTCCACTTCTGAAAATTTCTCAATTGACATTACTTTTCATCAAAAGTTTGGAAGGAAACTTTGGCAAAAAAATTTTACAAATCCCTAAAGAAGTTCACAGCACAACCTCAGGCACAAGCAAATGCAACACAAGGAACAAGAGTGAAAAGCTAATATGTGACCAGAGACACACAGTTGTGGCAGAGAACAGCATGCAGCCATGGTCTTCACATTGATTCCAAGGAGGGACAAACAAAGACAAACTCCAAGCCTTAAGCTAAATGCCTAACCTCACACTAAATTACTCTAATGGAGAATATATTTTATTCATTTGGCCTTTGACCATTGTGAACACTGAAATCTGCAGAAAGAGGATGAAACTATATTTACAGTATAAAAAATATTTTCTGGCATCACGCCACAATGAAAAATTGGCCTAGGCACATTATTTGGAACTTTAAGCAAATTTACGAATTCAAAGATGGAAATCTCACATATCTTTGCTGATTAAAAGGTTATCAAATGGCAAATGGTTAGGCTACATGGCTCATCCATGCCAGTACACACCCACCTTCCTTTCCCTTCCTTCTGTGTGCAAAGATCATTGCCAACGTGATGAATCAAAGTGCCCATAGTAAAAGGAAGTGATGGAACATGCATTCCTCCTGAGGTAGTGGACCCTGTAGCTCAGCAACGGTTTCTCTAAGACATGAAAGAAATGCCAAAGTAGAAGGAACGATGAGAGCCGCCTGTTAGTCCAGGCCTTGGCTATGACACGGCCTACTGACCTTCAAGTCTACCACAAATATAATGTTTGACGTGTTTGCGAATTTTCTCTGCATAGCATCGGGTTCAGTGTCAAGCGGAACATGAGGGCCCGTACGAAGCCCTACTTTAAAAACCTGCGGAAGAACGGACACTTCAGTGAGAAACCTATGAAAAGAGCTTTCGGGCATGGCTAAATTCAGCTGATCGACTCATTCAAACGAACGGTCCAATATCTCGTGATCGTGCGGCGCAACCCACGTGGAGCGCCAATGGACTCTGAATGACGTCACGTCGTGACGTCATCGTGACTTATGGGGGGGGGGGGGGGGGGTTAGGGGGGGGGGNAAGAGCCGTCTCGCGATATCTTCGAGCATCGTGCCTTTTTCTCGAGTCCACCGATGCTTTCGGATCGGTAACGATACCGATGCGGACCCCACGAGATGACCATCCCTCATCCTGTTCTAAATATAGAGGATCGCTCGGCAGGATGCCTCTCACGTAGCCCATGTGCTCGTGCGCATGAATCCGAATGAAAAGAGGGAATCCTTCTCTCGTGCCTATCGCACTCGATAGTGTGTCATCCTTCTCTTATGCTTATCGCCCTCGATAGCGTGTCATCCTTCTCTCATGCCTATCGCCGTCGATAACGTGTCATCCTTCTCTCGTGCCTATCGCCGTCGATAACGTGTCGTCCGGGGACCGAGTCTCCGTCGGGCCTTGCACGGCGGGCGACACCGGTGGCGAAGCGTTACGAAGAGAGAAAAATGCCGAACGATGGTCGATGCTCGGGATCGGGCCGGGAATGAGGTTATGCCATAAATATCGGCTTGGATTCGCTATAAAATGCCTATTTGGTGGAAGCCAATGGGTTTCGGGGTTTATCTGGACGGCGGAAGGGAAAAAAGGATCGACGCGGGGATCCCATTTCCTTCGTGTCAATACCGTATGAAATATTCATGGCATTTGCTCTTCTGATAAAAGGTTTTCTTTCTCCTGCGACAGTCTCGTGAACAGGCCCGCGTATCTTTTTTTTTTTTTCCTTTATACTGTCTGCTTTTGGAGGGGGGGATCCTTCGCCTTCTTTGGGGTCAGGGGCTTTTCATGTACTACATGGAATGGGTTTCAAGAGTCCGAAGGTCAAAAGGAAATCTACTTGAAAACACCTTTCCTAGCAAGGTCTTTTTCCTTCTTTCACAAAGGCCATTCCACACGTACATATTACATCCGGCCCCGAAGCGATTGCGTCGGACTTATTGGAATGCCAATGAGGGATCTGCTCATTAGGCCGGGTTAATTAAATCATTAGCTTAACGAGCCGGTACGCTAATCAGTACCGGTGTCTTCTTTTTCCGCGGGATAACCGCAGGTATTTGGGGATAAATCAGAGCTGAAAAGAGTCTATCATTATGGGGTGGAAGACGGTCTTTGTGTGTTCTGTCCCGAACACAATGTTGCCTCATTAGAGGGTTGGGGAAGGGAGAAAAGAAGAGAAAAAAGTGGGCCGTTAGAGAGGCACTGGGCATTTTTCATCGTATTGTGAGTTATGTTGATCCCTTGTGTGCGTATGTGCTGCTCGGGAGCGTTTGGGTTCGTTGACTCCGCAATGGGGATATGGAGGGGTTTAGTAGGAGGAGACGGAAGAAGAAAAAAAAAAACCGCAATGGATGGATTAAATCAAAATTACGGTATATTTTTAAATTCACGCGAAATTCTCGCCTCCTATACGACACGGGAAGCGACGAGTCCCAGGTGAAACGGATCTTCTTCGCAGCGGAATCTCCTTAACGAGAAATGCAAAGAAAAATCATTACGAAGCCTTTCGCAACGCGAAGTCCTTTGAATGCAAAGGAAACCACAGTATGGCTTTCCCTTTCCATTCGCAGGTGCCAGAATCTTCTCTCGTTTACAGGTGCCAGAATCGAACCAACATGCTAATTCGACTTCGCACCGACTCGTGAAAGTACATGTCTCATCGTGATCAAACCTGACCCGTCTCCATCCCCTCCATCCCTTACATCCCCTCCATCCCCTCCATCCCCTCCATCCCCTCCATCCCCTCCATCCCTTTCATCCCCTCCATCCCTTTCATCCCTTCCATCCCCTCCATCCACTTCGTCTACTCCATCCGCTCCATGATGCTCGCTGGAGGAGTGCTCGCGCGAACTCGTTGGGATTCGGAGGACGAACAGTCGATGCTCTTCCTGCTTCTCCCACGTTTTTTCTTCATCTTCCGGGTTGGACCTGCTCTGGGGAGAGCCTTTCCGCGTGCTTCGTTGGGAGGAGATGCTTCACATGGGCACCAATGTGCCGTGCGTGAATGCGTGTGTCATGCGTGCACGGGTGTAATGTGCGTGCTCGGACGTGCCGTGCGTGCATTTCGTGCTCCACGGAGTCGCTCCTCGTCAAAGACTTGAAGAGACTTGAAGAGATGATGACTTCACAGGGTCATTATAATGGCCACGGGGGAAGCCCTTATGCAGATGCCACCTTGAAAAAAAAAAAAGACTCGCTTCCTAGTGACAGCCTTCTCAAGCATCTCCGTGCAAACGAACGGGAGATTGATGAGTAGACTCGCTTCGGACGCGCCCAGTAATTGCAAACACAGCGTTCCTCTTCCAAGGTGAGTTTAAGCTTGGAAGGCGGTGCAGAACCCTTAGAGCCCTCTTCTGAGAAAAAAAGCATGGCTGTAGCCAGAAGCATGAAATTAGATCAACGGGGACGATAATGTGTAATGATGGGCTCCAGTATCGAGGTGAGAATGGAGGCGTCAGTGGGGACAAAGGGGGCCAGAGGGGGCAAAGGGGCAGGGGGGGCAAAAGGGAGCCCGAGGGGGCAAAGGGGCAGGGTGACTGGGAGGGTGGGTGACCCTCAGAGCTTAAACAGCCCTCAACTCTCCGAAGTGCGTCGAATGGTGAGGCGAGTTCTCTGTTCCTGCTTTTTGGACTAATGAGATGGTTCATGGAACACGAATGAGTCTTCAGGGTTGCCTCTCATAATTATAAGCTCCTTAATTGTGTGTAATCACCTTATCGTCAGGGTTCAATTCACATGACCACGAAACGGCTTCGTCATTGAAGGAAGGGAACGTGGCAAGGTCCCCAGGTGCGCGGGTGGCATCGGCACCGGAAGCAAAAAGGGAACTCGATCGTGTTGGCATTTCGTGTTCCCGAAAGAAATCGGTCGATCTCGCGAGTCCGAATCAGAAGGAACGAGTGTGACGTAACTCCTGCGTGGATTCCTGACCGATCATTCCGGTGCCAGATCGGCACCAATTAGTCCTCCTTGCTCAGTCCTTTACAAGTCGTCTTGCCTAATCCAACTCCTCGTCCCCGTTATTCCCTTGTCATTCCACCCGACTTCGTTCATGTCCTCGTCATGCCTGCGGGTCACATTTCTGACCCCAAGTTTTATTTCTAAAGCAGGGAGCAGCCACCTCGAAGGCGTCATGTTAGTTTCAAAATCCCTCGCGTTCACGTTATGCAACTCCAAAGCCGTTTTGCGTACTGGCGAAATAATTACTCGAGTGATGATTACCCATAATTCCAGTCACAAAAACGACCAAGCCCCACTGCAACGATCCTCGAGCACAACGAAGACATCGAAAACTGAAGAAGTCCCAAAGGCTGGATTTTGCATCCACCCCACCGAGAACAAGACAGAGGATGCATACATTCCCCAACGCACATCCAGCGTCCATCCCCTTCCCCGATTATTCAACTCAGCACGAGCGAAGAAAGATGCGTATGAGGGGGCTATGCCAGAGGCACAAGACCAGTGAAAGCCCCTGGGGCATCCCTGCATACCTCCCGCCCCCTACTCCACAGAGGAGGGGGGTAGGGGGGGGGGGAGGGTAGGAGGGAGGAGGGTGCCAAGCATTGCTCGCGCCGGCGCTGCTTGCGTCAGTTCTTCGCCGCCTCTCGTCAACGACGGACGCTACCTCGCGATCCGCGCTTTATCATGCCCAGCTTCGCTATGCCTCTGTGAGAGCAGGAAAAATGATGCAGATTGTGATATCACGGCCAGTGTGTTGTTGCCTCCTGCTCCTCGTCGCGCCCATCCTCGCCCAGCCCCCCCACGATGCCGGAACGGGAACGAGCGACATCGACATGTCCCCGGCCGCCTCGTCCACCGTGGAAACGAAGAACCCACCCCCCAAACTCCCCGACGAGGCCGCCACCCCCCCGAGTGATTGTGAATGCGTGCCATCGTGTACCGGGAACGTGACCCGAAGTGAGTGCCCCAACGGCCGGGTCATGGCCCGACCCGACTGCCCGTGTTGCGTCGTTTGCGCGCGCCAAATCGGAGAACCTTGCGACTCCTCTTTGAATCCTTGCGACAACGACTACGGCCTGGAATGCAGCAAAGGAACTTGTCGAGGTACGGCCCTTTTTTCCTCCCCTCATAAACGTCGGCCTAGAGGAATTACCTCGCATTATAATAGGTTACAGTGCTAATGACGAGCTAGCCTCATTTAAACGCAGAAAAAAAAGTGATAGGTCATGGTGTAATTAGCATATCTGACGGAAATTTAGTTCGGTGTTACCGGGGGTTCCCCGGTAATAATGAAACGATCTCCTGGTCGGATACCCCGGCCATAGCAGATGGCAGAACTTGCCCATATGTCTTTTACGAGCAGGGAACGTGTCAAGTATATAATTTGCTCAATAGTCGTTTAGAGCACGACTCAGCGAGTTTATTATCGCGAAGATTTCGATCCCCCACGAAAGATGCAACCGCAGAGACAAGCCTTGCTGGGGTGCGACCGTGCATTTTCGGAACGCATCAATTGTGCAACTGTGCATTAAAAAAAAAAGGCTTTGCGAAGTGGTCGGGAGAGACAGAATGAACGCATTCAATCTATAGGGAAATACTGAGGAACAAAATGATGCTCTCATTTCAAAATTACGCTCTTCAACAATACCGACATGAATAATCCATGAGAAGCCAGGAGCTCCAGGCCCCTTGCATTAAGCCGCGTCTGCATTTATTTCTGACCCGGGTCGTCTCAACAAGGTCGGCCCACCAGTCGCCGTGCAGGTCACACCGTCCCGCGGATTCTCCCCGGACGTTTCTCAGCGTAATGGAGTTCCGGCTACGGAGTTACGGCGATCGGTTCTCGGAATCTCGATCGCGGAATGCAAGGCATTACGTCATCCACTCTGCGTCCAGCCACGACGCGGATGCGACTCGTAACGATGCTCACGTCCGTCGTGTCGGGTTTCCCCGATGGGTCGCAGATGCAGCCTCGTTCGGTTTCGGGGAAGATCCCTCTTTGTTTTTGAAGCAGATGGTCAGTCGCGTCGATGGATCGATCTTGTGGTCGAAGCTGCAATCCGATACTTTTTCGGAAATTTTCTTGGTGAAGCGATAATAGACGCCTTAGGGATTTTCCCACGCGATTTATCCGACGTATTCGACTGCCATCGAAGAAAGTGCCTGTTTGGTCTGAGAGAATTTTTCGCAGCGGAGAAAGTCTGCAAGGAGGGGGGGGGGGGGGGCCGGGAGGAAA